GTAGGAGTTAGAGCATTAGATGATATATTACCAGCAATGTTAACACAGTTAAATTCGCCGGATCTAGCAGAGGCAGAAAATACTTTAGATGGTTTACGCCAAGTAATGGCAATCAAATCTCGCGTTGTTCTACCATATCTAGTACCTCAATTAACAACTCCTCCTGTTAATACAAAAGCGTTATCAATCTTGGCAAGTGTAGCAGGCGAAGCATTAACGAGGTTTCTTCATAAAATACTACCGGCATTATTGACTGCTCTCTCCACTGCTCAAGGAACACCGAATGAAGTTCAAGAATTAGAATACTGTCAAGCAGTAATTTTATCTGTTACTGATGAAGTCGGTATTAGAACAGTCATGGATCAGCTTATGGAAGCTACAAGAGCAGACGATCCATCTAGACGTCGGAGTGCTGCAACTTTGTTATGTGCTTTTTGTCGTGATACACGTGCAGATTATAATCAGTATGTTCCTCAATTATTACGTGGTCTTATTCATTTATTTACGGATGACGATAAGGATGTTCTACAGATGAGTTGGGAAGCTTTAACAGCAGTTACTAAGGTAAAATTGTTTGTATTGTTGTAATTTCGTAATAAACTAAACTTCATTATAATAATTAAGATTAACATATATTTCATTTATAGACTTTGGCATCTGATCAACAAATTGCGCATGTGCAAGACATCAGACAAGCTGTCCGATTTGCAGTATCTGATTTAAAGGGACAAGAATTACTGCCGGGATTTTGTTTGCCAAAAGGAATTACTCCTATTCTTCCAATATTCAGGGAAGCTATATTAAATGGTTTACCAGAAGCAAAAGAACAAGCAGCTCAAGGACTTGGAGAAGTTATAAAATTAACTAGCGACTCAGCATTACAGCCGAGTGTTGTACATATTACTGGACCATTAATTCGTATCCTTGGCGATCGTTTTAATTGGAGTGTTAAAGCAGCAGTACTAGAAACACTCGCAATTTTGCTTGGCAAGGTAATGGCATGATAATTTGTCTAATATTGTACATGTGTTATATTAAGAAACATAAAACAAGTAATTAACACCTAAGTGTTTTAATTAGGTTGGAGTAATGTTAAAACAATTCTTACCACAATTACAAACCACTTTCTTAAGAGCATTGAATGACAGTAACAGACAAGTGAGATTAAAAGCTGCTTATGCTTTAAGTAATCTTATTGTAATTCATACTCGTGTTGACCCACTGTTTACAGAACTTCACACTGGCATAAAAACTGGTGATGATCCTGCTATTAGGTAAACTAAAGAATTAAATATTTTTTACATATTATTTATATATTTTCAATTAAAGTTTAACAATTTATTTATATTATATCCAGAGAAACAATGTTACAAGCATTGAGGGGTGTTCTTACACCTGCTGGTGATAAAATGACAGATCCAATGAAGAAACAAGTTTTTGCTACTTTAAGTAGTATGCTTGGGCATCCAGAAGATGTTACGAGAAATGCTGTTGCTGGTTGTTTTGGAGCATTGGTACAGTGGCTTAACCCAGATCAACTTAATATCGCATTTAATGAAGATTTGTTATGTAAGTTTATTTATAGTATAAGTTTATTACAACATACTTAATGTTATCGTGGAATTATTAAATGTTTAATAAAATAAATATTTTCAACAAAAAGTAATTGAAATATCAAAAACATAAACAATTAACAATTTGTAGGTACCGATACCAATGTTGACTGGATGCTTCGACATGGACGTTCTGCGGCATTATTTGTAGCGTTAAAGGAATCTCCAACAACTGTCTATACTAATAAAGAGAAACATCGTGTTTGTGCAGTAATACTTTCATATTTGAGTGCGGATCGAGTTCAAATAGTCATGAATGGTGTACGAGCTTGTGGTTATCTATTTCAATATCTAATGAATGATGGACAACCTATACCTCAACAAATTTTATCTCCTTTCGTGCGAGTAAGAATGTTTTAGAAAGCAAAATAAATTTAAATTTGTAAGTTTGTATACAAATGATTTATTATATAATTTATTTCAGTCAATGAATAATAACAGTAATGATGTAAAACAGCTATTAGCTAAAGTTTGCATTCATTTGGCTCGTAATATAGCACCTGAAAAGATGTCACCAGAATTACTTAAAGCAATTTTACCTATGTTAGTGAATGGAACAAAAGAGAAAAATGGTTATGTGAAAGCCAATAGTGAACTTGCTCTCATAGCCGTACTTAAATTGAGGCAAGGAGATGAAGAACATCAAGTATGTTTCTATCAGTTGTATCATGTGAAATCATAATATGAAAATTTTTAATGTTGATTATCTATAATTTTGTAAATTACATTTTTCAGCGTTGTATGGCTTTCTTGGATGTTGGTGCAAGGGAATCTTTATCGGATGTAGTCAGCAAAGTATTGCGTAAAGTCCTATCTCAGCCTGAAGGCAAAATAGAAGAATTGGACGATACATTACTCACGTGAGAGTTATTGTATGTCCTGGGGCTCATTATGCTCTACACCTATTTTAATAGTCGTATTATCAATAATTACTCGAACGATTTTTATAAAGAGACTTACTATTCATATACTAGATGCATTATAAAGACGTTAGTTCATTCAATATTGTATCTCGATAATCAATTAAACAAAGTAAAATGTAACACTCGTTCGATGGCATTCAAGTTACTTAAACTAAGATGTCCTATTTACCGAGTGATTTGCATACGTGTTGTAGATATTTCTATGAAAAATGTTTTTTACTGTCAATTTATTAATAATCTGTTTTTTTATATTTTAATTATTAGTGTATCGAATGTGTCTCAAGGATACACGTCTGTAAATGAATCGATAGAAAGTAATGATACAAAATATATCGGATTTAAATACGAGAACGGTGAAAATAATTTTAAATGCGAATTAAATTTCAATCGTCTTGTATATTCATGATATACCTTTTTCATACATATATTATACCTCTTGATATATTTTGTTAGCGCTATAATTGAAGATAGATTATTTTACTTATGTAAGAAGATAAAAGTTTTTTTTAAACGAAAATTACTATTACATACATTACTATTTTATTTTTTATGATAACTATATGTTAATTAATTTTCATTCGAATATCGATAAACCGAGTAAACTGTTTACTTGCTATCGAGGATTTGAACAGTACCGCGCTTTAGTGTCACATAAGCGTGTTTTGCTGTCCTGTACTGTAGTTATATGCATCGGTATATAGTTTATATTTTAGAATTACTTATAGTGATTGTTGAACCGGCTTAAGCCGTACCGTAATGACGTGATCCTTCTAGATTTTCCATTAAAACGTCTTCGTTTTCAAATGTGTTGCGCTTTCAACGTGTTCCTATCTTAAAAGTTAATAGCTATCTAATTTATCTACTATTACATTATTTAAATTGTTCACAACTCGAAACGTACATATTCTGTATAAACACCACATGATAAGTTACAATTTGGCGATATAATATGGAATTTTATACTTTTATATTTCTCAATACTTTATGGATATTTGCTCCTTTAATATCAAATTGAATTTTCATCTAGTCATTTATGTTTTATTAGAACATGTTGTATTAGAACAAAATAACAGAATTTTCCTTACATAAAAAATTTGATTTGAGAAAGGTGGTAGCGTGTTTAACGAACACTTTAGTTATAAATATTTGTTATTTACAAGTAAACTTGAAATTTTAACGAATGCCAAGGAAGATCGAATTTTATATTTTAATCAAATTTCAGTATATTTTATATACATATCTTTAGAGCAAATAAAGAAAACGAGGACATAGAAAGATGATAAACATAATGGAGACCAGAAGAATCGCGCGCAGGTTGCATTTTAGACAGCAAAAGCATTACTGCAAGCGACCTAGTCGCATATTGTCGTTCCTCTGACTTCCTGAGCCCCGGGACTTTTATGAAAGCATATTTCGACTATATATAGGAAGAAAATCGATTAAGTTTCGACGCATCATTATGCAACAATGCGTAATGGATTCGCTTGTTCCGATGGCACTGACAATTTCGTTATTGCTCGCTCAAGACTGAATCGTTCCATCCGTGGCTACAAGAAGAGCCAACTGCCACGTTCTTTTCAATTTTATGATGTTTCATGAATCAATTTCCTGTCTGTACCTGTTGCAAAGTCCAATGTATTTGTATATTTAATAACTATTCAATTATATTTACAGTTGGATGCATTGAATACCGTTCATTTCATTATTTCTATTACTTCAGTTTCTTTTCTTCTACAAACATTAAACACATATACCGTACTTCCCCATATGTTTAATTCGATAATTTCATCCATTAATTTCTGTTTCCTTGTATAAAATATTTTACGAATTTTAAATATCCACTTATAGCTTGTATGCTATGCTGTACAAAATTTTATATTTATAAATTAAGCAGAACGGTCTTACAAGGGAAATTTATTTATGATGTTACATTCAAAATTTCATAATTGTTAATTATGTATGCACAGTTGTATGTGATACAAATAGAACGATGCGTTCGAAAAGAGATATTTCTTCATTTATACAGTCATTAAACGACAAATTTTAGTTTAAAATATATTGTTAAAACTAGAGGAACATTGGCTATGATAAGTTCTCCTTAACAATTGTTTTCCTTTTCTTTTTCGTTTCTCTTTTTCTATTTTTTTTTTAGTATTTTATTAATTGTTTTTACAAGTTAAGTTTTTCTTCCCTTTTTTGTTTAAATATGTACTGATATGTCAATGCAATTCTAGTTCACGAATCGATAATAATTCACTGATTTTATTTTCTTTTATTCATCGCAACACGATTTAATCGTAATTTTTGCATATCATAAAGTAAATATTTAAAAAGTATAACGCAGTAAAAGCTGTATAATTTTATTTTTAACGTAATTGCGATCGTTTCGAATGTTTAAAGCGAAAGAAAGTCGAGAAGACGATAACGTGCACACGACAGAAGCGAAATCAGATTTTACGAATAATTTAACAAGTCATATTAAGCTTCTCTTCTTAACTTTGGAATCTTTCTGGGTTAAAGAGTTTTCAGTATTTCGAGATGCTCCCTTTTCCTGTAACTTGTTCCTCGATGATGTGCTTTCCTTCTCGATTTTCCTCGTTTGCAACAATTTTTCAGCTCTCTTCCTTAACGAGAGCAACTGCTTCGTTGCCTCTAGTATTGCCTCGTAAAATTCAAGAAAGGTCAACTGTAACATTCGATTTCTATACTGTACATTATGCATAATACCGTATACGATGTGTATGTAAAATACACATTACGCATTTAAGCGAGAGATAAATAAGTTAGGAGAGATGCAATTTTTGTAATATCTGTAAATAACCATTGATTAAAATATTAGTCACCGATTAAATTAAACGTGGTGTCCGATATTGGTTTACGAATAAATATCCACGTAATAAATATATTTCGATCTATGCTACTTATATTATACTTTAAGCTCTCGATACAGTTGATAATAATTTTATAATCGTACAATTGATATCCATGTAATCGATCATCTCCAATTTTATATAATTTGCATTTTCTATTACCGTTCGTATCGCTTGTTAATTTCTCTTTTACCATTCTTCTAGTTCGTATTCGCGTAAAATAAAAATTGCATATTATTAATAACGTGTAACAAACGTATGAAAACATAATTGTCCACTATTAACGAAATACTCAATACCAAGTAACTATGTTATTGATATTATGCAATTTTATTTGGGGATGACATTAATTACAGTGGTTATAGAAAATAACAAACGATCTAATTGTTCTTATATCTTTCATTTGTTTCATATAGCACACTTTAGTGATATGAATCGAGCATAAACCAGACCTCTGAAGCCTGACAATGTAATATGTACATTTTAAACGATACGATGGTGAAAAATTTATAATACCAAAGCAAGTACAATCAAACAGTAACAATCGTTTTATCAACTGTTTTATCAATTGTTATAAGTGTTTATTAAATTTCATTTGTCAAATATTAAATATCGATATTTCGATTATATCAAAATTGGAATCATTAAGGATATACCTTGTAATCCATATTTATAATTAATCCACTGTCTGCATCTTTTATTCCAGGACATATTAGCGTCATAATCTCCACCATCTTCAAAGCTCCCAGTTCTCCAAAGACCAATAATCCATTAGCTGTAATACACGTTATATCTTTATGGATAGTCGTGACAGAGAGAATTACGACAAATTATAGAGTGTGCTATACGTACCGAATAGATCGTTGTCACTTTTTCTTGATACATCAGCCGTGCAATGAGGTAACGTAAACATTTCGTCTATTTTCAATAGATAACTGACTTTTTCACCTATCATCACGGAATTAATTCCATCCGGAAAGTTTTTGATAGCCTCAACAGTCGAAGATGATCGTGTATCTGTTGTACTTATGTCATTTAAATATTTATACGTTTTAATGTAAAAATATCATTATATTAGAAGATAGGTATTAAGCAGATTCTGCATGCATACTGTGAAATGTACAAATATAATTGTTCACTAATAATAAAATACTTTAAAGTTGTATCTTTCGTTTAAATTGTTTCTGTGCGCGTTTAGGCTAGCAAGATGACCGATTCCCGAAGGAATTTTAAGTTCCTTATTTAATATCACTTCATACGAATTTAATAAACATTAATTTCATTATTTTCTATTATCTTTATTATCCCCTATGGGTAGTAGCATTCTTTGAATAAAAGGTACTTCATTTATGGAATAGCTTTTTCTAAGAATTTATAATTATTCCCTTCTATTATAGGAGTTATCAGGATGAAAGTGATTTTGTTGCAAGTTATTCCAAAATTTGTATGATAATCAAGTATAGCCTACCTTTTGGAACGAAAATCAATCGTAAGAGATCTTTCGCAGAAAGTGGATATCCAATTCGTTGACACAATTCAAAGACACAGTACATAGGTAGTAAATCCTGATTCTCCTGATATAAACTGCCTATTATGGAAAATTTGGCTTTAATCACAAGACTTAAATGTAAAATTAAAAGAGGAATTTCTTTTGCTAACAGATTAATCACTTTGGATTAATAATACTCTTCAACTATTCTACATACACGTTCGTTTTATTCATTGAACTATTTAATTAAGAAACAACAAAAGTTGCCAGAAATAGCAAAATTAAAAGAACTTTCTACAGCTTTTACAGTAGCATACTTTACATTGCTAACATACCAACATGGCTTCTAGCATGAGGATATATGTCGTTCTTCAAGAATTTATGCAAGCCTGCAGCTAGTTTTCCATTCATTTCCTTCGCATCTGAGTCATCGTATTTGGTATACAGATGCCAAGACACTTCTAATAAGGCGTGCAAAAATTGCCAGATTTCGATCTTTTCGAATGGATGATGAGGGTCTTTCACATTCGTGGCTTTGTTCCTTGCTGACATTATTTTAATATTAAACATCGTCGAAGGGATATTTATACTGATATATACGATAATAAATAGTTCGAAAATGATTTATTTCGATTAAAACTAAAAATGTCTGTAACACGTGTGATACGTAATATTAACAATGTCAATTGACCTTTACCAATATGGCCGTCGATTTCGACGAGGCTAAGTCCTCTCTTATGGACGTTACAATCCCTCCATAATTGCCACAAGCATAACCTACTCATAGCGAGATTACATTTGGGCGCCGATTTGCTGAATAATTTCGCATAATCGTTGTAAATCTGACGCAAACGAAGCATATGAAACGTTAAACAATTGTATGTCCAGAGTTCTTCGTATTTCCAGCTAGACTCCTCCATATTGGATTCGGTGTAGGTTTCAGAGGTCTCTGACTGCGTAGAGTTATTCTCAGTTGTAATCGTATCTGCGTGCAATTTTTTCGTTCGAAAAACATTGGAATCACATGAAATGAATATTTATAGATTATATAGGTCGATAAGCAGTTGGAAATAATAATAAATAACCTATGGACGTTGGACGTGCCAGGCAAGAGCACGATTCAGCTTCGCAACTGTAACATCTCCCGGATAATATCGAGGGTACACGATGTGGTTCCAAGCTTTTTGGATCCAGAAGACGTGTTATATAATAAGATAAATTTGGAAACTGTTCTGGTCTTAGGATAGGTGTTATCGAAGCTTCTGCTAATTCGTCAGGCTTCTCGAGAAATCTATGAACGATTGATATACCTTTGAATGTAAACATTCAAAAAATTATAAAGTCATTTGATATTTATGATTATCGCTATAGAAATTTCGACACATTGTAATACGCGATATTTTGATTTTCTTTAGAATTTCCATATTATAAATTCTTTTGCCCTTTCATGATTTCTATGCAATAATTCCGTATATGTCGCGTAGCATTTAGCACAAGATTTTGATTATTATAATATTTAAGAAAAAGATGTGTAAGAAGTGAAATTAAAATTAGAAAAATGAGATCAAAAATAAAAAGGACATTTGAAAATGACTGTTGCAGACATCTGAAAACTCTGATAGGCCTTTTTATCGATGACTGTATATTTAATATAGATTAAAATGAGCATTCTTACATTGGTTCCGCTTCCTTTGCCACGCGCACGCATTCTTTCTCGCTCTTCATCTCCGTTTCATTTTCTGAATTATCGGTTTCAACATTGGGAGCGCATAAAATATCATTCAGAAACAATGGGTCAGATTCAAACGTCTCCCCATTACTTCCTGCACAACACATAGGTATCTTTAATTTAATTTGATATTAAAGTACATTTCCATATCGAACAAATTATCGTACCATAAACGAAATTAATAATAATATAAATTTAATTTTAGAAGATGTTTACTACCAATTATAACTCCGTAACCGTGCTTTTTATTATCCTTCCAATAGCCAGAATACTTGGCTCCACCTACAGAATTCAGCTTCATCTCTCCTGAGAAATAATTCGTTCTCACAAAATTTAGTTAATTCGTTAAATTATTTTTCAGATAATTACTGTGGTGGTTTACCTTTGCCATGGCGCATTCCGTGACGCCAGTAACCTGCGTAGGATGCTTCTTGTGGCCAGGTAAACGTTTTATTGAAGAATCCATTCCATACGTACTCTCCATAACTGTAAGTATATTAATTTGTAGAATTAAATAAGTATAAATAATTGATTATTTTATTTTAACAAACACGTTTGTTTCTTTCTTTAAACAGACCCATGCATTGCACCGCATTTCCATTCCCCACGATAGACATTTCCATTGGTCCAAACCATGGTCCCCTTGCCATCGCGAATGCCATTTTTCCACTCGCCCACGTAACGAGCACCACTTGGATAAATTCGTAATCCAACCCCTTCCATTTTGTCCATCACCCAGTCGCCATCGTACGAGCCATTATCACGGTAACGAGAATAACTTAACGATAAAGTAACTAAGTATTGCTAACAGACCAATTTAACAATATCATTATTCAGTTTAATTTAGTAATTTCATTAATATCATACTTATAGAGATTGGACGGTGATAATGTTTATTGGTAACAATAATATGAAAATGTGAAAGTGACAATAGAGTTACGAACTATTTCTCGGCTTACTGCAACGATCAACGCAGTATTACATTATTATGCAACATACAATATACAAAATATGTACAATATAATTCGTAGCTAAACAATTCTTTGGCTAAAGAAGGGTACGAGTTGAAAAATTTCTGCTATAAGGCTGATGATATTTTTTGAGCAGTAAGTAAGAAATCGTATAATAATTAACACGTACAATTATTTAACCCTTTGCACTCGACGACTTTTTCGCTAGAGAAGAGTAGAAATTCAAAGATTCTCTACTAAAAAATTGACGATACTTTTTTGAGCAATAAATAAAGAATCGTATAATAATGGAATTGTAGAATTATTAAATTTCGATACCTCGCACACTGTTGCATTACATTAAATTTGATATATTAATTAATATCGATCTCCCAAATTTTATGAAATGGTGACTGAAGTCACCTCTCGAGTGCAAAGGGTTAATATAAGAAATTATTGCTCACAGATTCAAGGATATGCTTTGTAGATATATTCTGTAATTCTTGACACTTACCCCTTTCCAAGTCTTTGTCCCATATACCATTGACCGGTATACATGTAACGATTTTCCCCGTCCACCATAATTCCTCTGCCATGTTGGTAGCCATTTATAAATTCGCCTTCGTACCAGCAAACGTTGTTCCATTCTAATAAACCTTTCCCATGCATGCGATTTTGTTGAAATTCTCCCTACGAAGCTAATTCTCAATAATAGTGAAAATAGAGAGTACACTAATTGCTCTTAATTTTACTATTTCTCTCTAATCCTATTAGAGAGCATTTCAATACCAATGTCATCGTTCGTTCAGTTCGACATAAGTTAAACATCTCGAATAATTGACTCAAAATTAACACTTAGCCAACCGCACGCCCCAGAGCGAACTATACGGTTTCCACCGCGCTCGGGGAACCCAAACTGCGCTATCCACCGGGCATTTTTCGGAAGACTGCGCTGTCCACCGGACATTTTTCGGAAGTAACACGAACTGAAATTCACTAAATTCACTTAAATTAAACTAGGAATAAATAACACGATCCAAACGATCCCGGAAGGTGGTCGGAAATACCGAATAAGGGGCCTTAAAAATTGGTGAATTTTATTATATGTTGTGCTTTACAGAAGCAGTTCGTCAGTAATTGCGAACAACTCCAAATGGAGGTAATGTAAGTAATAACCGAAAACGAGAAACGCATTGCTAAGGTCAAAATGGGAGATCTCCCCGATCGGTCGGGCACCGGCTAACTTTAAAATGGCGAGATTTCCACGATCGGTCGGACACCGGCTAACTTTAAAATGGGGACATCTCCCCGATTGGTCGGCTAAGTGTTAAGATATTAAAATGAAAGCGTTGAAATTGAAAATTCTCACTTTATATTGGGCACCATTTGACCATCTGTATACTCCTTCGCCTTCCATCATTTTCCTACTGATACGACCGCTGTAGGTGTTATTGCTAATGAACCTTATATTCGCAAATTCATCGGGCAATGTTAATTTCCAAGATGAAACAGAGCTTGATTTCGTTGTACCGTTATCATATTTGTCGGAGTTATTCTCGCTTCCTTTTAAGTCATTCGCGATTTCGTTGCTCTTCTCTTCATCGATGTCTTCGTCGTCATTGGAGGAGACTTTAGTATCATCGTCGATTCGTTTCTTTGGTTTCTTTCTTAAATATTTTCCGTCCCATCTGTGTCGAATAATTTACGTGCAAATGAAATAATTATCGAATCGTAAAAGATAGGAATTTAGGTAGAAATAAAAATGAAATAAAATTAGTGTAGAGGATCGATTACAAAGGGTATTTATGACAGAGTCGAGTGGGGGAAACGAGCGAAAGTTTACGAGTTCATCCTGAGTGTTTGAAGTATATATCTGGCCCATCGGGTTCGTATGAGAAATGCGTGATTAGGGAAGAAAATCTGATTGTGATTATGAAAGAAGACATGAAAGAAGTGTAAGGTTAAAATTAGGGTACGAGTATGCGAGTAGGACAGTTTGTAGAGTGTCAGTTTTTGAGAGTCAGTCGTAGAAGTCAGTTTACAGTCAGTAGTCAGTCGTAGAAGTCAGTTTACAGTTAGTAGTCAGTCGTAGAAGTCAGTTTACAGTCAGTAGTCAGTCGTAGAAGTCAGTTTACAGTCAGTAGTCAGTCGTAGAAGTCAGTTTACAGTCAATAGTCAGTCGTAGAAGTTAGTCAGTCTAAATGTTGTCAATTGCAAGTCGTAGAAGTCAGATTTTATGGTCGATTGAGACAAGAGTTACTATTCTATTCTATTCCAATAGTTATTATTATAGTTATAATATAATTTATAATTATAGTTGTAATAGTTATTATTCTATTCTATTCTTAGAGTTATTATTCTATTCTATTCTATTCTAAGAGTTATTATCCTATTATATTAATCCGTTATTCTAAAGCTTATTTTGTTCTGTTGAGCATTGTATTATTATTCTAGTCGATCCCTCCTAGTATGATCCTATATTGGTTATAATTAAAATTTATGACTTACAACTATATAACCTGTAATAAATATTATTATATAATATATCCTAATCAAGTGTTATATAGATTAAATTTAATTCAGGCTTTAACGAAGAGAAGGATAGTTACTCTTTCACGAAATACATCAAAATGTCATTGTAAAGAAGGTAGATGAATTCTTCCTTAGCACTGTATGTACGTCGTTTATCGGCAAGGATATCTTCGAAAGGCAAATCCTCTGACATTTCGCTTCCTTCTTCTTCCATGTCTTCCCCTTCTCCTTCCTCCTCTTCGTACGATTTCATCGGAGAGATAACATTCTTACGACATTTTTTCGATATTATTTCTTTTAACGTGGCATTCATTTCTTGAGTATTTTTTTTTTTTTTTCAGAAATTCACTCGAAACAAGATATTTTTATTAAATTTATTTTCAAATAACTGAACTTCGTGATCCTGGATAAGCTTCTTAATCTGGACGCTAGGTGGAGTTTGAGAGGCGTGAAGATATTAGTGATTCGAGGGGAATTTTGTGAAATACTTTTGAAGATATTTCACACTATCTTCGGAATAATTTTTGATCAGTTGTATGATTTCGTAAGATAGAACGTCGGAGGAAGTAGGAAATATATTGAAATTATCAAACTTGAGGCAGAAAAATGTTAACGAAAGGGAAAGTAAACGTAAGATTATTTTCACGTTGCAAATGTTAGGGAATCTTTGATTTCTTTCATAAAACATATGTCAGCTGTGCAATAATAATGCTTGGGAATCGATAAAGCACGTAATAGGAGAATGTCCGATGTACGACGAATTCAGACCACATAACCTCAAGTACGAAAGCATCATAAAGACTCATAAATTTGGGACTGAAAATGACACAAAGAGGATACAATACTTTACGAATAGTGCAATAAGAATCAGAGCACTGTGTCTAGACGAATGATTTGCATTAAATGCCAAGGTGCAATGGAACTGAAAATCGCTTAATCAAAGATTTTTCTTAGTCATACTTTCAATTTTAAATGATATATCTTTGTTGTATCTGTATATTTCTGTAGGCTCATTTTAAGATTAATAGTTTATTATAGTATAAGTATAAATATAATACTCTAGAATATCACGGTACTACAAACGCATATGTATAACACAAGACTGTAATAGGCTACCGCCTAAATCAATTAACAATTAACAGTAAAAATTTCTTTCATAATATTCATTCGTACAAAACGTTTTCCTTTTATTATATTATAATAACGCACGAAACCAAATGGAAAGAAATTGATATTACGAAGTACTGTTAATTTTGTAAATTATATATATTACAATCCTACTGATGTCATAAATATTAAGAAACTGACTTCATTGCAGGTTGTTTTCCCAGTTTGCGAAGATGAAGTTAAAGAATTGGAGTCGATAATTTTCCACACTCCTGCCATATATAATGACAAAGTAAAAGTACACGATTGGTAAGCAATGTTAAAAAGAGATCAAATTTTCCTTATTCAGCCGATATTTCCACTATTCTGTAATATTTTGTAATACTTAAATTAATTTACTGCGATTTTATTGCAAATTTTTTACGAATCCATATTTCCCGTTACATATACGGTTATGTTATTTCTTTCGACTTGAGGAAGGAGTGTTTATGTTATTAAAACGAAGGGTGAAACGCAGAAGGGTGGCGCAAATAGCCTTTGTTGTTCGTAGCAACGCAACTGGGCTACTATAATTAGGGCAGACTGTAAAACTAGGTATTTATGTTGCAACCGTTCTTGACAGCGCGTGTAATTACGTTCGAGAGTATAAATTAGAATTGGCGTAGAAAGATAAAATCTATAAGATTGCGATAAAAAGTGATGAATTAACGAGTAAAGTAACTACGTGAAGAAATATAACAAAGAAAATCTTTTCTTTTATCTTCACTGTACTACAATTGTCGATGCAAGTATCACTATCCAAAATTTATTATCACGAAATGTAGTTGAACTTTATTTTATTTATTAGGGGGATGAAATTTTTAATAACGCTTGCTTTAACTTTTTCAGTAATTTATATTTAAATAATAATAGAACGATCTAAGATATTTCAGTAATTTATTTATATATTTAAATCGATATTTAATCGAGTTTAGATTATGATGAGCTAATAATGTTCCATTTTTACAGGCAGATGCATACATTGGCGGAGCCCAGAGATAACAAAGAGATATTTCCACCAAAAGGAAATCTTCACGTATCATCGTATCAAAGATTAGGCCCAGAACCTGGCTGCACAGGAATTTCAGAAACACGTGCCATGCTGTCTCAGATAGAATTGAAAGAACTGTATAAACCAATTTATCCGCAGCGTACTTTGCTTAATATGAAGACTTTTGCATCAGCAGAGTACGTAATAATTATTGTTTTATCCTATACTGCTGTTAAGATACTGTGGTATTGCGAGTTGGGAAAGATTCTAGCAAAGGAGATAGTATTAAAAGCGATAGTAGAGCGAATGGGTGTGTGGTCTTATTTCTAATTGTAAGTGAATGCATGGGAACTCTTGGGCTACTTTTCGAGAAGCGAGGAATAATAAACAGCGGCCATTGGATACGACACGGGCGCTCAGGGTGACATCTAGGATGCGGGCGAAAGAACAAACGATAGCACGGGAGAATCATTTTGACGAGATATCTATGACTGTATCGAGTGATCGAGAAAGAAAACCTGTGTATGAAAAGAGAGAGTGTTAGACTTTAAGTAAGAGTACATTGTGCATAGTCCAGACGTATTGAGTAGAGAATCGCATTAGCGTAATATTTTAGTTTAACACGTTCGTCGCCGCGTCTGCCATATTTGGTTGATATGCTTTCGTGGGGGCCCCGTCACCTAAATATGGTTGACGCTCATTTTCCGTATGCTTGTAATATATGACACCATCTGGTCGCTCCTGTCGATGCCAGTGTTTCCATTATTATATGCCATTATCGCCAAAGGTTTCTGTTTCGGAGGACGACCACGATGAGTAGAATTCAAGCTTGAAGTCATAATGGGTGCATGTTTTGTTATTAAAAAGGCGTCGTTGTTTACTAGGTGCGCAGATCTCTGTCTGCATAGGATTAATCTAGCAATAATCCTACAATGCAGTATGGTAATTTTAGAAAATATTCCTCTTCGGTGCATCATAACGTCTGATAAATTAAAATGTATTGCAGGCAAGAGGAAGAAGAGGATTCGACGATAGAGGGTATAATGTACGATCCTGAAGAAGCTCGTTGCATGGATTATCGAACGACAACGGAAATTCACTATAGATCACCTTACCCCATGAAACCAAAATCATTACCACCGCCACCACCACCACCGCAACCATGGCTGTTGAATCGACGAACTATAGGTTACAGTCTCGAACAATTGGAAAAACGTGATGGAATGCACAAATTCTTGGACGATAATATGGAGCTTCATCAGCAGATAGCTGATTTAAAGTCCAGAAGGTATAAGTTGCATTCGTTTCTAGACTATCAGGTTCCTGAAGCTGTCGACACGTCTAATATGAAAGAGTGCAAAATTGAGAATTAGAGTGTATAAATAATCGCGAAGCTATATTTTAACAAATTTTATTGGAACAAATTATTATGAAAATGCAAGTCATTATGAAAATGCAAGTTATTATGAAGAATGAATTTTGAGAATTTTGTATTTCGTAAATAATAAATGACAAGCAAATTGGTGCATGTAAATTTTTATAAATGAAATTTTAACTTAGTGGGGATTTTTAGAAAAATTGCATGCTTGATCGAAATAATCTCTATCGAAAACTATCTTCGTATAAATCTAATAATGTGATTATTTGCAATAATTAATTTAGGCAAATTGTATAAGCGTAGATAATAGCAATGTCTAACCAGGTAAACAAATATTTCAAATTTAATGACATTTCGGGAAAGATGTATAATATATTAATTCGATAAAGCACGATAGAACGGAAATTATAAGTTATCGATGACTAAGAAAAGAATAATTATAAACAATTAAACGTTATTGAACAAATTAGAAAAAATTAGAAAAATTATTTAAACAATATTAAAAATATGAAAGAAAAAATTGTTTTAAGATCGTCAATTTAAAAAAAAATCATTCTACTGGAGAGATTTATTAAAATATATTAAATTTTCTGGTCAGATGCAGATTTTACCGTTGGCTGAGTCGGCGGTAATAATTTGCTGTTGCATTATAGATTGGAGAAGTATGAGGAAGTATGAAATAGGTACGAAAGGTGATTATTATTCGATAAAGCTAGTGCTTACGTAGATATCACGAAGAAAAATTTTCGCTGGAGAGAGAAACATTGCACGAGTGCATTAAAATACATACAATAGATATTTAGTCAGTTGTAGAAGCGTGCATTCGAATATTGAATATTATCGAATATTATTTCTTCTGAAACTTTGATTGTTGCTGACACTGACAATGGAGATTTAAAAAACATTACACGAAGAGACACGAAGCAATGTCCTGTCAAGTGGGCAATAAATTTAATTTAATTTTAAGCCAATTTAAAGATGTGTATGTATCTATATATGTAAACAAGCTAAATGAGATTAACTTATAGTTTATATTTTTGTAAAAGCCGAAATGTGTCATTTATCGTGTATAGTAAATCGTAAATGCGTAGAATGGGCTGGGAAGGATTTTAATTATGGTTCGGGTGATATAGTAGTTAACGATCATTCAGTATTTTATGTTCAACTTCCAATTAGATACGCTTGCTGCACTTGCGTTATAAATATAATAGTTCAGAGAAGCATCGTGTATGGATGAAAAATGCACAACAAAGCATCTCAGGGTTGCATACAAAAATTGAAGGTTTGCTTTATATTTATTTTTAATCAAATATAAATATAACTTTGATATTATAATATTTACATTACTTTCACTATTGTTTTCACTGCTACTTTTATTTCCCCCATGGTCATCACCGACAACAGCTTCAACAGATTAGGCAACGGATTGGAATTCTGTTCGTAATATGCTAATATACTATGAAGGCGGAAAGCTACATATCTTGTATTACGGCGCGCAATGCGGTAAAGATGGAGAAGGCATTGGACAGATACTGAAACGTTAGCAATCCGTTATTACATAATTCGCACAATCCTTGCCTAATTCATTCGTCACAACTGTCATTCGAGAACAAACCTACGGACCGAGCAATAATAACGCAGAGTAAATTCTGGCAGTATACAACTGATGGAAAGTATCACTGGATTTTGAAACTGCAACACGTGCAGCGCTATCTTCTGCATTTCTAGCGACTGATCGTACCACGTCATCTCGTATGCACTTTGCGAAACGTTTATGCTCTAAGGATCATGACAGATTGATAGTAGCTAAGAGAATGCGAGGCACTAATTACATACAATCGGTTTCACGTTAACTTCGATTACCATATCTTTCATGTTATCAGCTGACCAAGCGTACACGTAAATTTCCGTCAGCAGTGTAAAAAATACTGCCAGGAACTGTATTTTCACGACCAACGGTGTTTTCTGCTCAGAAAAATGTATTACCAATTAATTCGAATACATATATGTAGGGATATGTTCTGATTGGCAATATACGGAATAAAAGGATGTTGTTTAATTCTAATAGATATTTCATTTACGAGCTAAAGGGACCTAAAAGTAAAGTTACAAGCTTGAAGATTAAACTGGTCACGCAATCCACACTCGCACTCTTCAAGCTATCACCGACTTCACTCTCTTGCAAACTTCTTGTATACTCTCACCAACAGGACTGTCTCAGGACAGCCCTTGCACCCTTATTTAACACGTTGGATGTCACGCCAGTTTTACAGATATTGCCTATGGCGCCACGTTGAATTTTCTATTATGCGATACATATAATGTTGAAATATTATCTGCAATAGATAAGTTACAATGTATAGCCATGTTTGACATGTTAATTGCGAGGGGGGTCACCATTGAATTAACGATGGTAATAATGAAAATTTCTAAATATTGACATTTTTTTAAATTATATATATTTCTATCAATCTGGGCGCGCCAAGTTGAGTGCCGGTCACCGGTGACCCCCATGGCATTCAACGTGTTAAACCTAGCCACGTACCCTAAACATTCAGGCGCCTTTCGCTCTTCGTTTGCATTCGATACTACCATAAATATCCCTCGTACGCCGTTACTCGTTCTTCCGCACGCACTCCAGATAACAGCCTAAACGCCCAAGTCGAACCCGAGGACGTTGTTCATTGTTGCCCGCTTTCGAGGAACGGCTCAGGCGTTCTTATACACTATACAGTCGTACGCGCACAAAAATACTGTGACAGGCGGTGACCTACTATGTATACAGCCATGTTTGACATGTTAATTGCGAGGGGGGTCACCATTGAATTAACGATGGTAATAATGAAAATTTCTAAATATTGACATTTTTTTAAATTATATATATTTCTATCAATCTGGGCGCGCCAAGTTGAGTGCCGGTCACCGGTGACCCCCATGGCATTCAACGTGTTAAACCTAGCCACGTACCCTAAACATTCAGGCGCCTTTCGCTCTTCGTTTGCATTCGATACTACCATAAATATCCCTCGTACGCCGTTACTCGTTCTTCCGCACGCACTCCAGATAACAGCCTAAACGCCCAAGTCGAACCCGAGGACGTTGTTCATTGTTGCCCGCTTTCGAGGAACGGCTCAGGCGTTCTTATACACTATACAGTCGTACGCGCACAAAAATACTGTGACAGGCGGTGACCTACTATGTATACATGTACCAAATATCGTCCATATATGAAATATCATCCTACTTACCAATAGAAATATAAATCCAACAAGACACAGAATAACCAAGCTGCCAAGTAAAGCGAAAAGTATAATAAAACGGAAACCATTCACCACATCTACAGCGTACCTAAATAAAGGAATCAGAAAGGAATCAATTGAATAGATAAGACGATAAACATGTCCCGAAATGTCATTCTTACTTTCTCAAATGTAACTGCTTCTTAATAAAAGTAACCAGCATGCGAACATCCGTGGATTTTCGCAATTCCATAGCTAGGCATTCGAACCTGGCCGCTGAAAACCAGAATAAAAGCGCGCCAAACATACTTAAGCATGTATGCGCAGCACACTGATAGCTTAGGAAAAACTGATGCATGTATACCATGACATAGACTGGCGTATAATTAACTCGAAACGGGTACACCGCGTCTGCCGGAAAGGGAATCGACATGAACACGGGTCCTAGCGAAAAGGCAGTCGCTGTCAGGTACATACACGCTATGGAACTTGCATAAAAGATGTCGCATTTCGTGATATACTTGCAGAAAATTTCCCTCTCGCTCTGTCGAGCCTCTTTGACATAGGTCACCATTTCATTGATTACACGCTGTAAATCTTATTTAAAGCTTTCCAACATCGGACACAGAGAGAGAAAACGAACGTGGACTTACCTGTAAATTGTCGTGCTTCACGATGCATATGATGGTCTGGACGATGATTTGAATTACACCTATACACAGGCTGATATCCCCGGAGACTATAGCGACATTGTGTGAGTGTAGATAGACTGCGTAAAGCAGTGGTGCTAATAGCATGAATCCATTAATTATACTGGCGACCTGTATGACTTTGTAGCCAAACAGTTTAACCCTACTGCTATTGGGGGGAAGGGGCCAACAGAACGTTAAAGCTACACTGAGCCAGGTGACGTTGATGGCTTCTTCAGGTGTCAATTTGTTAAACATGATTCACAGATACTGTTTGATACAAGACTCGAACGAAGTAGAATTTAAATGACAGGATAGAAAGTTGTTTGTGGACAGTCTATTATTACACTGCCTTGGGAACAACTAAGTATTCGCAGCTGATAGTTATGAATAGTCATTCGGAGCGTAATGAACAGATTTAATAAATTATATTAAGTATAAGACAGAGAAAGTTGCAAATTTCCTCGGGTGCGAATTTTATTCTGTTGATTGAGTCGACGGTAATAATTTGTGGCTGAATTATAGATTAGGGAAGTATACGGTATAGACAAGTGCAACCGGTGTTTCCACAATCATAAATTGTAGTAAGAATTTCTTCGGGCTATGACTGCGTCGAACTAGACCGTTAGTCAGTTTCTGTAATCTTTTTAGGAACATTGTTGGTGGTACTTACAAATGGCGGTAACTAGACTGCAAGTAAAAAGGAAGTAATTTCAATGCAGGCAGCAAAAATGACTGAAATTACGAGTGATGTGATGAGAAAGTTTGGCTGATGCTTTCAACGAGGATAAAATTGCTTAAGAATAGCCAAAATCTGTGCAATTTTTTTAATATTGTTTAATAATACAACATTGAACTGAAAAAATATTTTATTTATTTTTGTATTAATTACACCGAATAAACAAATTGCTTGGAAAATACCTACCCCAAACGAGCAGATATATTGGCATCCTTGCAGGTATCCAGACATTACCGTTATTACAACAATTGTTTGGAAAGTAACCGAAAACATAGTGGCGACATAAACGATTGACACAGAATTCACCTGATAATGACTAATACAGAAAAATATATGCGAAACATGCTGCTATTTTATTACAACCAATTTTTATTTACAACTAATATTGATGCCATATAGAAAGAACATTAAATGCAGAAATAAATAAAATATTTTTTCAGTTAAAAATTCCTTTACAAAGTGTATAGAAAACTTTAAATCAAAATATTTCGAAAACGAAGGCCCACCATGAAGAAATCCATTAAGGTTTTTCAATACTAGGTATGTACTATAACTTATACTTACTACTGTTCCAAAAGCGACGAGCACGCACACAGGGACCCCTTGTAAGAATTACTTTGGTGATGAGAAATACAGTCTTTAACAAAGAATCGACTTTTTATATTTGTCTCTTTATTAGGTGTTGCTAAATTCAAGTATTGCTAATTTGCAAAAGTTCCTAATTTTTATTCTTTACGTGAGTTTATTAGCAATAAAATGACGAGAATCTATTCTATGAATTACTAACAATAAGCATTTCGGTGTTTCATATTTATATTTCCATATATCAATTTTTTCGAAGAGATTGATGTAGCAAACTTCGGCCGTTTATCTTAAAATCTTTTGCTGCATAAAGCTTAAACACGTTACGAGGTTTGCATCAGAACACGCAATGCATTGAAGTACGTTAAAGATGTGTATAAATACTACAATACATAATAGAGTAGTTACTAATTGTAAAATGAAATGAACGAAATAAGAGATACGATACATGTACCTTCATGTAATGAGGCAACGAAAGCTCCCGTACTAGACCTCTTATTTGAACAACCTCATACTTCTGGGACCTCAATATGACGTGAAGCATCATCCTTTGTTGCTTGACGTCTCTTCTATACCAATCTGTATCGTAAACAGCTGCAGCAATTTCAAAACTCTACAATGAAATAAAATTCGATCCTTTAGAGTTTTGAAATAAAATGTGATCATTTCATTACCATGCTCATTAGACTGTCTGCTGGCCAAGTGTATATGAAGAGCTCCACGCTGGCACTGAACACTACAGTCGCGTACAAAACTTTTTGAACTAATGGTTGATTCTATTTCCGAACAAAATTCAAGACTATCGTTTCTTTGATTTAATTACTATTTTAAAATAATTACTTACAGTAACAAAGTTTAAGCCACCAAAAATCATTGCGGTAATTGTCGTCCCCATTGTTGCCACGACTAAAAATTTCGTACATAGACGTATTTCTTTCGAATACCTGAACATTTGAGTTACACAGCGATAATACATAATGAAAAGAAAAAAGAAAAAAAAATTACAATATGTACCAATATTTATATCGCTCCTCGTAATGTGAAGTAAAATTTGGACACGGAATATAATGAAACATTTTATACGAAAATTATATCGAAAGATAGAGGAAGAGGTGCCGTTTAATACGCATTTTGTTTCATCTCGATATCTCAATTAGTTCCCGAGATACAGGATTTTCAAGTTTAACGTTAAGACTTATGGACAAATGAAAATTCGCGCGAATCATATTTGCTAATGGTACGTACGCTCGTAAGCGGAGTAGTAAGAGTTCGCTGACCCGGCGTTAGTCACTGACCCTCGCGTACGTGCAATACGTAAAGTATGTCGCGAGACGGAACGAGTGAGAGATCCGAGACAAGGATGAATATAGTAAACTGTGAAAAATTACCGCGCCTTTACACGACGATATCTCATAAAGGAAAAGAGATATTTGTATGAAATAAAAAGCATTTTACATAGGAAGGATGCCCGCTTCTTTACAGTGAAAAATTTGTCCAAAATTATTAATACGTTTCGGAGCAATAATTGCTCAAAGTTTACGTAATTTTAATAGATTTTACACGTGCTTCTGTGTAACTTTTGGAATGTATAATAATTTTTTCATACGACATTACCTGTAACAAACGTGTTTACAGCTTCTGATACTATGTAAAGATAGTATAGAAAAAACATGGTAAATGGAATTTTCGTTTTCTTGTAAGAGAGCAGTTTTTTAATTCGATATGCAGTCTAGCAGTCTTATACTATAAAAGCTACGATTCTACCTAGTTTAAAAATTATTTATGTATTCTTAGTATCCCCGTGAACCTTTCAGAAATATTTATTATCCTTTACAACTACAATTTATTACTACATTTCAAATTTTTATCTGGTACATTCTTCGAGCGTATATTCAAATTTCAGAGCATACTAAAAGATTACCTTAAGAGTTCATTGTATTTCTTCATGCAGGTATTGAATTTGTACATCGACTTCGCATTCCGTATCTCGTTTCCTAAAATCTCGAATCTGGCTGTCACGTACCTCAAAAGGAAAGCGATCTTAGCGTCTATTGCCATACTCGCGGATGCCTGGAGGCCGACAATTATTTGATGGAAGAAAATTATGCTTTTGAGAGGCTGATAGGAAACCGTGAATGGATATATCGCGTATGTTGGGAACATCTGCTCCGAGTGGAAACAACCATATACGATAAAAACATTGATCAGGTAACACCATATTACGTAAATATAATGAACGTATTTGTATCTATCCACGTAACGTTGCAGAACAAGCTTTTCCATTTTCCTGGCTTTCTTATAGAAATTCTCCATGTCAAAGAACAGCCACTAAAAGTATTGTCTAAGACGTTTAATTAAACAAAGCAGTAGAATAAAACAAGTATAACACTGAACAAATTAAAAATCTAAATGTTCCAAGTACACACAAATTCTTAACAGCTGCGTGTAAAGCAAATTTATCGACACACGTACGTAACTGTGGTATCGTGAGCTAGGAAGGACTCTAGCAAAGGAAACAGTAATAACTCCTTGCCCTACGATTTAACTCTTTGCGGCACAGGATTTCAGATAATAAAATAGACCCATGTTGCATAGAAATTTTATTGCTTTTTAAATGAAACAAAATTGGTATATTTTTACCAATAAAGGAATCACGTAATGTAAAAACATCAAACCAGGAAAAACAGATTATCGCGATAAACCTTCCGCTTGGCAACAATTGATGAACCTGTACTGGCACGTTGAATGTTGCCAACACAAGCGAATATATTTTTAACATTTGTTGAAGGTATTACCAACTATTTTACGTAAATAAGACGAAATATAAACCTATGCGCATGCAGCTATTGCAATATTTCCAGGTGGGACTAAAAATGTCTCACTGTGCATTACCGTGTATCAAAAAGATTGGACAATTCTAACCCCAGCGTGCCCCAAAGAGTTAAGATTCAACAGCCATTTCGAGCCACATTTCACGGCTCGGCAAATCTGTCTTAAGTTGTACCAATTGCACACGACTTACGTGGGGCACATCAACAAACCACGGGCGTGACACGTGATGTTTACATTTGGCACGGCCGATATACCACGTGCCAGACCCGTGACAGTCAATTTCGACCCGGCCGACGTACCACGGGCAAGGCTCGTGATAATCAGTTTTGGCTCAAAAACCTGACCACGAGCCTCACACGTGGCTGTAGGCCAAAGGGTCCAGAGCAGTATCGGGTCCAGCTTAGGCGTTTAAGGTAACATCTGGGATATTTATGACCGGATGGAGTGCAAGCAGTAGACGAAAGTCCAGGAACGTGTTCGAGTGTCTGAAGTATCTGGTCCACCGAGGGCGAGGTCGCGTGGGAGATGAATGATCAACGAAGAGAGCTTGCGTATGAAAAGAGAGAGTGTTGAAGTTTAAATAAGGGTGCAAGGGTGCGGGCAATGCAGAATGCGTGTAGTCGGGACGTAGTGAGTAGAGAATCGTGTGTTTGAGAGTTAGAGTTGAGAGAAGCCTAGTGTAAGCCTAAATATATCTGTTTTGTTATTAAAAAGAAGCCGTGGTTTATTAGACGTGCAGATCTCTGTCAGCATAGGATTAATCTAGCAATAATCCTACATAACTTAGAAATGATTATCAACTTACTTGAAAACGTTTCTGCTGCAAACGACATATTATCATCTTAGTTATCACTTGGGCAACAGCAGCGGTAAGACTCACTGTTTTCCCAAGAATGATGGGCTGTTTACGGTACACATAAACTGCGGTCAGCAGAGGCAAGAATAACGCGATCGCGCTGACAAACGCGATACACCACAGAATATTGAACAAGAATAATTGGATTCTAGATGCTAAAAAAGAGGGTGGCCAAGAGCACGATAATGCGACGCTGCGTTTCGTGAACAGAATTGCTGTTTCCACAGTCAAACGTTTCCTCATCTCGATTATTGCGTAAAATAACGATATAATGGATACGATACACCTTGTGTTCTGGGTACTTTTGTTATCCTTGATCGGGGAAACTGGACGTTATGTAATAACGTTGGGATATCTAGAATACAAGTGGTGATTACGATGAAAACACATGTACAGAAGAAACATCTGTGACAGAAGAGGTGTGTGAGTCTGTTCCAATGATATGGTTAATAATCCAATCGAAACGCGATGAATACTTTGAAATAGTCGAAAGTAAACGGTGTTATTAGATTCGTTCTATACCTTCCATCGAACGCTGTTCAATGCAAGTTTAAATTAATAAATAACAGGTAACTCTGTGTGTTATGTAATCAGGATTTATCTAAGGATGTAATCATTTTAGTAGTTCGTGAGAATACCACGTGTTCTTTGTATATTTATACTCCGAATAAAAGTGACTGTATCGACTGGTATCCGTTTCCTTTTACTAAAAAGGAGGAGTAGTTGAGTATGAAGAAAGTGTCGAGGGATGTATGCAGCTCGCAGGAAATATATTCACGAATAATTACGATAGTTGAACTACAGTTAGTTAAAAGTGATCGTGCTAAAGAAATCCGATACGTTGAAGATGCAAAAATTGATAATTCTTTGGTTGATCTATTATATGTAGTATGGTCTGTCACTTTGACTTTAGATGGATCAGGGAATATGTAAATTAAATTACATTTGGGGTTGAACAAGGTGATTTTATTTAAAATTTTTACACATAAGTACTTGAGAAGTTTATAATAATTAATATCCCTCGCGATAAACACGCTAGTATTCAAATAATATAAATTAGTAATTAGCTTTTTAAGTAAATGGAATAAATATAATTTTTTGTGGAACTTGTCTCGTTTTTTTTTCTTCTGTTTTTATTTTACTTATATTAAGTAAATCATAGATTATGTCATATTTCAATTGTGAATTATCAATTATAAATTAATTAGTAGTATGTTATATATTCATGAGAATGAAAATATAAAATATTGATACACATATATTGAAAAATTAATTTATCAAACTTTACAGAAATTCTTACAAATAGAAAATACGTCGTATATAACATATTTTATCCTAGATAATATTAATGTTTATCGTAATTTATTTCCTACGGTATATTTACATAGGACATTATCGTAAGTTGTATACTTTATAACATGTGTTCGCCATTATCGCATATGAAGTAGGTTAGTAAATGAAAAAGATAATTTAACATTATTATCAATTAATTTGGCAGCAATTAATCTAACAAATATAATATTTGCCTTTCGATCAGTAAATTCCATATTCATTACGTATAACAAAGTAATAATTAAAAAATAATGATTAATTTTAACTGACTGCAAAATGAAATCATTCATTATTTTAAATTACTCTAATAAATGTTCAATGACTTAAAATAAAAATTGTCTATAATAACAATGTCCAAAAAATTTTAACTTTATCTCAAATCCATTGGGTAACTCTTGTAGAGCTTACCTTCCTGAATACGAATTCGGTAATGAAATTTTACTCTATAAATGTGAACTTTTCTTAAAATGTACGATTTTTAGCGAAAGTTTCTCGAGTTTACGGATATCCATAATTATAATTATTTGTGCTTTTGTATAATTCCAATTTATTGTTAGTTGCAATTTGTAATTCGATTAAATCGAAAAAATATTCGTCAGTAACGCGTATACGACCTTTTACCGCTGCGCAGCCATTGCTCGCCTGTCTAGACTCAGCAGTGCTGTAACTACACGTAATCGACACGTAGTCGACAGTAATTGTAATTTTACTTGTTTCTTCAAAATTTTACTCTAACCAACATTTCCTACCATCACTACACATTCAAACATACAATCTAAATAAAAAAAGCTTCAATTTCACGTTAAAACGGCCAGCTAATAATTTAACCAACTATAACCAGGTTAAGATAAATAACGACCTTTTTTTTGTTACTACTATATAATTATACGTTTTAAGTTACTGCAATAAAAACTAGAGATTCAACAAGCTAAAATTCGCGTTTTTAACAAATTTTACGTATTTATTTAAGTTATTTATTTTGCCACAGGTTTTTGGAGGAATTTTACAACTGTTCATTTGATAAGAACACTGAAATTTGGACTCATGTTAGTAAATTGCAAAACCTAAGGTTTAAATTAAAAATACTACACACTACCATAGATGACGATATGTTAATGATGAAAATTTTAGGTACTTTACCACAAAAGTGTAAACTACACACGAATGCATGGGAGTTTGTCAGCGAAAAGGAGAAGACCATGGAGAATTTGCCTGCTAGTTTAATAGTTGAAGAGGCAAGAATTGAAGACAAGGAAGAACCAGATAATACAATTGCATATAAGACAGATAGCCAGAAATGTTACAATTGTAACAGAACCGAATACGTAGCAAGAGATTATAGGAACAAAGCAACATAAAGCTTAATGGTAAAGTGTTTTAAGTGCAATAGACCACGGTATCTTACCACAAATTGTAAAGAAATGTAAAGAAAGGATAGAAATACATAGCAGAGAGAAACAGTGTTCAATATGTAAAAGAAATAATTATATAAACAGAAAACTATAAAGGAAAAAGGAATAAAACTGCCCATAAGACAGCTTTTCTCACAATGAATGAAGAAAGAACAGGAGCATGTGTCGAGACAAAAGCAGAAATATGGATTGTTGACTCCGGCTCAATGGCACATATAACACAATGACTTGAATTTATTGAAGATGAGAAAAAGTAATGTGACTGTATGATTAGCGAAAGAGATTATGAAAACAGAGGGCATTGAAAAATTGGAATTTGTGGAATGTAAGCTTAGAAATGTCATGAGGTAATGTGAGAAGTAAGTGCGAACTTACTGTTAATAAGAAAAATCTTCAGGCAAGGAAGAGAAATAGAATTTAAAGGAAACAAAAATGGAAGGTATGAGTAATGAGAGGATATGTGTGTGTGTGTATGGAATAAGCGAGAAGACAGTTGACTGTCAAGTGTTTGGTGAAGAGAGTTACAATAAGTATATCTCTAGAGCTGAATGTAAAAAAGTATTATATTATTTTTTTTATTGCTGGTAGTATGCCAAAGGTTTTTTTTTTTGTTATTTGCTAGACAAATGTTTCATGTAATTTACAATGACAATATGTATAATAATTTACACATTGTTTTTCTATAAAGAAAGCTATTTAAGTCTTGAGAACATTACTTTCTAATACATAAG